ATGCTCTAAGATTGTGGATTTATCTTTTTCTTCTTGTACTTTTGACAGTTTTTGCTTCATGTGTCTTAAAACTCTGTTATTAGGTTCATTCAGATGTGTTCTGGAAAAATTGATTCATATCATTATGACATGATCCTCTATCTCTGTGAATGCTCTTTGATTTGAAATCTATTTTGTCTGGCATACTAATATAGCCATACTATTTTTTGTGATTGCCCTTCGAACTGTCTATATCTTTATGTATAAAGTGTGAAAGTGAAGTTGCTCAGTCGTGTTCGACTCTGCCACCCCGTGGAGCCTACCAGGCTCCTCAGTCTATGGAATTTTCCAGGCGAGAATACTGGAGTGGGTTGCCATTTCCTTCTCCAGGGGATCTTCCCAACCAAGGGATCCAATTTGGGTCTCTCGCATTGCAGGCAGACGCTTTTTTACCATCTGAGCCACCAGGGAAGCTCAAGATGTATAAAGAGAGTCTCTTCCAAATCACAGAGAGTTGAATCTTAATTTTTTTCCCCAGCTTGACAGTCTTTTATTAATTGAAGTATTTAATCTATTTCCATTTCATATATTATTGCAATTATTGATATAGTTGTTTTCTTGGCCTACATATTCTTTTCATGTTTTCTGTTTGTGTTCATTGAGCTTTATGTTGTTTTAATCAACTTTGGAAAATATTTTTGGCCAGTATGTTGTCAAGTTTTGTTTTTTTCCCGTCTCATTTTCTTTGTTTCTTTTGTGACTTCAATTACACCTGTGTTATGAGGCTCTGTTAGATTGTTCCTAATTTTTTCTGTGTTTGTTTGCTAATTGCAGTATCTGTGTCATCTGTGGGTATGTTTCTGTTAACTGATATGTTTCTATTACCTGGTTTTCCCTTTTAGCATAAGTTACATTTACTCTTAATTTGCATTAAGAGTGAATTTTTTTTACTCAAGTAAAAATTTTACTCAAGTAATTTTTTTTATTGTGTAATGGGCATTGTGATTGATACCTTGCAGTGACTGTAATTTCTGTTATCTTCCATTGAAGAGAAAGCAAATAGCTAAATTATTGGCAAATTACCTTGATGTATTACAGAGACTTGGTTTAAGCTTTATTAGGGAAGGTCTGTTTTGTTTTTGTCCTTAGTCCTAGGGAAAGTCTCACAGACCCAAAATATAGTCTCTATTTCTAAAACATGGCCTTTTGGGGTTTCAATGGGATGCCTGAAGTATTTACCAAGCTCCTTGAATTTGGTGGATTGCAAACTCCATACTCTTCCTTATGGTAGATAGCTGCTGAAATCTCTGCCCAGGTTCCATTTAGCCATTGTTCCTCAGTTCTTTGGAGTCTCACCCTACATATATATATATATATATATATATATATATAGTAAGGGTTTGACCGAGGATTTAAGGAGAATATATGCAGCTTTGGGGTTTCTTTTACTCTGTGGCTCCCTCTTTTCTGAGGTCCCTCTTAATTTCTAACCACTCTGGCAGATTCAACCTCAGTACTTTGACACTTTGAGCCAATAATAATTTGAGTTTCTGCTTGAACTGTGTCTGCTTTGTACCATTTGGACTGTGGGATGCTTTTAGAGGAAAAGCCACATGTGCTTCTCCTATAGTATCGTTCCCTTCTCTCAAGTATTAAGTGACCTCATGCTTCTTCCTACTTTTGGTTGCTCTTTTGTGCCTTGTTATCTTTAATATTTTGTCTATAATTTATCATTGTCATCAGTAGGAGGGTGAGCTTGATGCAAAGGAATCCATCATTACTAGAAGCTGTTGTCTCTTTATCTCAAATAAAATAATACATTGTGATAAAATATGCTAAGAAAGCTCCTTCTGTTTATTTTTCTTTGGCCTCTTCGTCATTAATCCATAAAACTGAAACAATATCCTGTTGATTAAAAAATTATATTCATACTCCCCTTTGCATGAAATTATCCTTAGATAAGCAGAACTTTGTATACATTTGCCACTAAGTGCTACAGATATGGAAAATATTCCTCCCTAAAGCCCCTGGAAATATTAATGTGCACATCTGTGAACAGCCCCATCTGTTTTGTTTTTGTTTAACAGGCATTGACATAGCACTTAACATGTGCCAGTTACTGGTCTAAGCATTTTACATGCATTAGTTCCTTTAATCCTTATATCAACCCAATGAGGTAGGTATGATGATTACCCCCTTTTTCAAATGAGGAACCTGAAACATCACTAAGAAGTATTGGAGCAAGGATTTGAATCCAAGCATCCTGAGTTTTTTAGAGTCATTACTCTTAATCACTGTTTTCTGCTAGCTCTCCCACTCTGTGCTACCTATATTAATTTGCTCTGAGCATGTACCAATAATGTTTGTGTGTTTTTCAAGTTTTTCAGTTAGTGGTATCTATCCTCTTGCTTTAAAAGGATAGATACCTTTAAAAACAGGAACCACATACTGTATTGCTTATTAGTCTTACATAATATACATACGGGAACTCCTTACTGTGCCGTGTCCAACTCTTTGCGACCCCATGGACTATAGCCTACCAGGCTCCTCTGTCCATGGGATTTTCCAGGCAAGAGTACTTGGTGGGTTGCCATTTCCTTCTCCAGGGGATCTTCCTGACTCAGGGTTTGAACCCGGGTCTCCAGCATTGCAGATAGACGCTTTACTGTCTGAGCCACCGGGAAGCCCCCGTTATTGTGCCAGATACCCAGAAAAAACTCAAACACAAATTATCTTATGAATCTTGCCTGTAAATCCTGGACAGTGTTAATCATTTTTTTCCTGTACTTTTACAATATATCAATAGTATTTATATTTCTGTTGAGTGGTTATTTCTTCTGCCTCATTTTGCAGTTAGCAGTTTATAGGCTTGATCTTCCTACTAGGCTGTAAGGTCATTGAAGGTGGAGGTCATGTCTTCGTCATTTTTGTAGACCCTCTGGCCTGGCATCTAGTCCACATGGAATATAATGGACTATGTTATCCTAAAACTATTATGGTAAAAATATACTTCAGTTTTCTAGGTGAAGAATCTTTGCATATTCATATATGTATACATCATGTTTACAATCAGAATATCTTATGTCTTTCAACTTTTCAAAGCCTTTTCATATCTACTGTCTCTTTATGGAAAAATTGTCATGAGTTTTTCATTTGTTCATTCCTTCAGTAAATATTTTCTGAGAGTCTGCTATGTCCCAGGACTGTTCTAGTTGCTTAGGATATGGCAATGAACAAAACAAAGTCCCAGCTTTCATGCAGATCTCATTCTTGTGAGAAGGTACAAATAAAAATATATAATGTGTCAAGTGGTAATAAAAATAATAGGATAAAGAGAATATGATGGTGTGATCTGGAAAGATATCAGTAAGGATGTGGCATTTGAATAGAGACCTGAATGAAGTTAAGGAGAAAGCATGTAAAATCTCTGGGGTTTAGAAGAATTCCAGGAAGAGGCAGTAGCAAAGACCAAGGCCTTTAAGTTGGGGAAAAAGCAGCACGAATAGTACCCTGGAAGTGTGGGAGACTTGAAAGGGAAAGGCAGTGTCATTGTGTGGGAGTCAGATTACAGGGGGCCTTGTAAGATGGGGTAAAAACTTTGTGTTTTATTCTAAGTATGATGTAAAGCATTAGAATATTTTGACTGGAGGGATAGCATCTAAATTATGGTTAACAGGTTCAATCTAGATGCTGTATAGGGAGCAAGAGTAGAATCAGAGACGCCAGTTATGAGGCTACTGAAGTAATTCAGGCCAGAGACACTGGCTGCTTAAACTAGGATGGAGGCAGTGGAAGTGATAAGATGTGTTTAGATTTGGAAATATTTGGAGTTTGAACTAAGAACCAAGAGAACCCACTGGGGAATTTTTATAGCGTGTTAGAAAAAGAAAGAAATTGGAAATTATTCCCACATTTTGCTTTGAGCAACATGATGAATATTAGTGCCATTTACTGAAATGGGAAACATTGACAGAGCAAGTTGAAGCAGGATATATATCACTATTGTAACTTTATATATGAGGAAATTGAGGTATAAATAAAGAATTTTGATAAACTTTGGACTAGAATTCTAATTGTCTTATTGCTAGCCTTGGATATTTTAAAAATAATTGTTTCAATTATTTTTGTCATTAATTTTACTTGAATGATGATAATTCATGTTCATTTAAAAATTCCTTGTAAAGAAGAGCCTGAGCAAGGATGTTTTAGGAGTCTTTGAAATTTTATGTATTTTTTAGGATGCTGATGGTCACAGAGACTAATACTTTGTAGATTATGGAGTACAGATGACCCTTGAATAACATGGGTTTGAACTGTGTGGGTTCACTTATATGCAGATCTTTTCAGTAGTAAATATTACAGTACTACCCACTCTGAGGTTGGTTGAATCCATGGATGTGGAACTGAGGACACAGGGCCGACTACCAACTAGCGATTATGTGTGAATTTTTCAACTGCACAGAGGGTTGGTGTCCCTAGCCCCCATGTTGTTCACGGGTCAAGTAATTATTTGCTAGATTAAATTGAAAGAATATTCAGTCTTATCTTCAACCTTGACATATTCATAAGGGCATGTATTAATATCTGTCTTATAATTAAGATAAATTGCGTGAAGTGGATGTTGCAGTTTGTCTTTCAGAAAGTAGTGGTTAGGACTAGGAATCATAAGATAAAGGTTTGAACTCTAGGTCTGCTCCTGACATTTTGTGTATCTTTCAGCATATCATTCTAGTTCTCAGTCTTACTTTTCCCGACTGTTAATTGGGAATAATACCGACTCATGTCTCATAATTATTTTGAAGATGAAATAAATATGCTTAATAGTGCTAGCATATCCAATAAAATTTGTGGAGTCTTGAATCTCAATACAACTACTGTGAAATGTTTACAAAATTGTAGCAGATAAAAGTTTGTGGGAAAATTCTATTCTTAAACACATTGCTTTTTTTCAAAATTACTATGTATATGAACACACATGGAGAATCTGTTACTGAAGATAAATGTTCATGTTTACTTTACAGGTATTGGTTTGCCTTGAAACAAGGTTATCAAGTGGCTTTCAAGTATGGCAGCAAAACTGAAAACTTCGTGGAAAAACAGATTAATGACAGGGTGACAGATTTGAGCATGCTAAGGCTGTTTGAGACCTACCTGGAAGGTTGCCCACAACTTGCTCTTCAGCTCTACATCTTTCTGGAACATGGTCAAGCAAATTTCACTCAGTGTAGGTCTTTCTTAATTCCTTGTGTTAGATGGATGCCACTGATATCTTACGTCAACTGTGTAACTCTTTGGCAGGATTTATGTTTATCATTTTTTAAAGAGTAATTTGTTATTTTTGAAAAGAAGTACATAGTTCAAATATCAAAAAGTATTTAAAGATGTACTGTCTCTCTCCCCTTCTTCCTATTACTTCTCTTTGCCTACAAATGAAACTATTGTCAGCTTTTTAATGATTCTTTCAGAAAAAAAATTTTTCAGAGCCTATATTTATTCTTTTAAAGAAATGGTAACATGAAAACTATCTTTGTTTTTTTTTTTTTTACTTAATGTATGTCTTGGAGATCTAAACATATTGGTACAGAAAGAGTGCCCACATTTTATTTTTATTATCTGCATAGTTTTATAAATTATAGATGTATCCTGAATTATCTAACAAGCTTCTTTATGTTAATCTAGGTTGTTTCTAATATTTTACTGTTGGAAAAAAATTCTTCTGTGAATAATTTTATGCATGCATCCTTTTGCATGTGTGAAGTTTATCCATAGGGTAAATTCCTAGAATTAGAATCATTGTGTAAATGTGCACCTGCTACAAAACTAATGTTTGCTTTGCAAATTGGTCAATATGTTGCTCTTTTATAGCAGATTTTCTCATGGTTAAATGCACATTTTAAAAGGACAGTTTGGTATTTCTATTAAAAAAATTTTAATAGGTGTTTATTTTGAGATGTTAAAAACTACTTATTTGATAAAAATAGTTGCTCTTTTCATTAGTGATGAGAGTTACATGTGGTCTTGGATTCACCTCAGAGTAGTAGCAGATTGTCCTCTCCCTTGGAGTTCTCTCTATGCTAGATTTTCTTGTTAGATGAGTTAATTCCCTTAAACAGCCTTTCTGTTCCCAGTTTCCCATAAACCTCTAGATGTAGTCCTTTCTAATATTTTCATATTTGTTAGTGTAACACTGAAATGAGCCTACAGCATATGAGATCTCTCTTTCCTTGTGATGCCCAGAATAGTTGTATATTATATAGTCTCTGAAGCTAAAGATCAACATTTAGAGCTTACAACCTGTGCTTTGGTAGATCTGCTGATGTTAACTGTGGCTGCTTCTGTGTGCTGGGATCATGAATGATTTTACTTATTTCATCTTCTTTATATTTTTCTGAATTTCAAAATTTTTATAGTAACAATGTTTTGATAATCAGGAAGAATAATTCACAATGTAAAAAAAAATCAATTTGTCTATAGAATGACTTCAGAAAACTGAACATATTCTTTTATCTTTGTTCCTCCCTGAAATCATGCTAAAGAGGCAAGTAAAGGAGTGAAAATAAAACTCGTAAGGATGAAGAGAATGCAGAGTAGAACAGCAGACTAGAAATATCAGTAAATATTTAGAAGATGGAAAGCAGATGGAAAACTTGGGTTATTCAAATCAGTTCCATCACCACCAAAAGGCTAAATTATTTGAATCAATTCTCCTCCTGAAATTATCTGAAACAATTGGGTATATAGTTTCAAAATTCTTCATAAAAGCTTAAAATAGTCTGATGTAACAGGCCAAAATATGCATGAAAGTGGGAGTGGAGCAGGGTTGAGTAGGACTGTGAAGGCATTTATACCCTGAGGAGTTTTACAGAAACTTATACACAGCAGATTCAGTTTTGATAGCTTCCCAGAGCCTGGAGAACTGGAGACAAAACTCAGGGTCCTCACAAGGGAGGGATAGCTAGTAGAAAATCCTACTTGTAAAGCTGACATGCCAGAAGGCACCCTCCCCCTCCTCAGGATAAAAGTGAAGCTACCTACCTCTAAATGAAAACTGACTGCATAAACAAAAATAATACTATGTGGCTAAGGAAAAGAATGAAGATACAAGACAGAAATAAATACAAGCCAGGTGGAAGATGAATGGAGTTAAACTGTCTTAAATATCTTGTACAGTTCAGGAGAAAGGTAAAACAGAAATGAATCTGGGCTTTTTAAGGTGTAAAATTAAACAATTAGACCCTATTTTTTTTTAAAAGAATATATTATTAGGAAGACAAAATTAGATATTATGTTAGTCTGCTTGGGCTGCTGTAGCAATACCACAGACTGGGCAGCTTAACCAACAGAAATATATTTTCTCATAGTTCTGGAGACTGGAAATATGAGATCAAGGGGCCAAGTCGGGTTGGTTTCTGGTGAGAATTCTTTGGGTTGCAGATGGCCACCTTTTTGCTGTGTCCTCATGTCTTTCCTCTATGTATGGAGAAAAAGTGAGATCTCTGGTATCTCTCTGTCTTCTTACAAGGATACCAGTCCTGTTAGATTCAGGCTCCACCTTTATGATCTTGCTGAACCTTAATTATCTCTCTAAAGGGCCTATCTCAGTGTAGTCACATTGGGGGTTAGGGCTTTAACATATGAATTTTGGAAAAATATAATTCAGGCCATAAAAAGTATGAAAATAAGCATTTTTAAAAATATAAAAAATAAGTAATAGCAAATTACAGGAATAAGAAATCTGACCAATACCACAAATTTCACAAGAGAAGGAAAATTAGTATCTTTTTCTTATTTTAATGCTCTTTAATACAAATTTTTAGTATCTGACTGGCTTTTGATTTGATAATGATTTTATACTTTCTGTAGAAAAGAAAAATTCAATCTTTTTTGTAGCATAGTTAATAGAAATTTTATCTTTTAATTTAGAAAAGTTTCTTTCAACTTCACAAATTATTGATAATGTTATATGTATATTTTTGGATTATTGTCACATTTGAAACAAACTCTACCAATTTATTCAATAATGTGGTTTAAGATCAGGGTATATCAAGATTTTTTTTTGATGAAGTAACTGATTTTAAATACTGTTTGAATTGACAACACTAATTTATTGTTGATGTCTAATTTAGTAAATAGTGGAAGTCTTGTTTTTTTTCACTGATGTCAATAATGTCAAATCAGAAGAAGTTAAAAAGAATCTGTATAGATGTAATTGGGCAGAGTCATTCCATACTGAGAGAAATGCATAAACAAAGGCATGGTTTGGCAAAGACAAGGAAATTCAGTTTGGATAAAGTGTAATGTACAGATTAGATTAGAAAAATGGGCAGAAAAAGTATATGGGAAACAGGTAGGGAAGCAGGAAATGGAAAATAATATCAAACAAATAGTGTCAGGTGGACAAGGATAAATCATCATGCCTTAATGTTAAGGAATCAAAGACCTGTTCATGGCAGGATAGTGAAGTGTTCCCTGGTGGCTCAGAGGTTAAAGCGTCTGCCTGCAATGCGGGAGATCTGGGTTCGATCCCTGGGTCGGAAAGATCCCCTGGAGAAGGAAATGGCAACCCACTCCAGTATTCTTGCCTGGAGAATCCCATGGACAGAGAAGCCTGGTGGGCTATAGTCCATGGGGTCGCAAAGAGTCGGACACAACTGAGCGACTTCACTTCTTCAAGATAAGGCAAACTGCTTGAAAATCCCAGATCTGTTACTTACTCATCATAATTATCCAAGCAAATCTTATAAACAAATCTTCCTAAACCTAAACTCTTCTCAACTCAATTTCTCTTTAGCTAGAGCCCCAAAATGATGACAGTTGCTTCAGTACACTTAGGGAAAAATGTGGAAGAGGGAAAGTAGGAGTAGAAACAGGGAATTTAAGCAATTACAATTAAAACATGTTATTTTTCCAAATTTTATAAAAGTATATGACAAAGTGAACACATTGCCAGGCTTTGCCAGGCTTGGAAGGAGTCTGGGCAGGCATGGGTCCCTGAAATTTAAGCTTCACTACCTCCATGATAAATCTTCCTGTGAGGTAGAAATTTTGATTAATTTTAAACTTTAATTTGTTTAGTATACATGTTGTAATTTCTTGGGAAGCCTTCAAAGAATAAAAGCAGCATATCTCTGAAGGACATGTGTTACTAGATTGAAAAGTTGATAAAATGGTCCACACCAAGCCCATCATCATAACATTTCAGAGACTTAAAGATTTTAGAAGATTTGAAAGAAAGTAAAGATTGTTTAAGTAGAGAGAAAGTGAATAACTTTGACATTCTTAAGTGTAACACTTGAGATTAGAATTTAAAAGATAAATGACTTCAAAGTTTCCTTGGAAAACATTTTTAAACTTTGAATTCTATTTCTGTTGAAACTGTATATCAAATATGGAGGGTAGAATAAAGACATTTAGAGACATTCATGCTTAAAAGTTCAGCTTAGGTGCAGCTTTTCTCAGAAATGTCTGGAGGATGTTTGATCAAACCATGAGAATGAAGCAAGAAAGAAATAATGGGAAACAAAATCAACAGTGAAGAAAGGTAAAGGCAAGTTCTGGGAAGACAGAAAGCAAACCTTGACAACAGCTACCTTTGACCAGAAAGGTCATATTATTATTTTAAAAAAAGCTAATCGATGTATCTGGGGAGTTTAATTAATTTGAAGAGTTTGCTAAAAAAATAGGAGTCATGAAATAATAATAAAGTAAGGAGCAATGAAATGTTTTAAAAATATTGCATTGTATACTTGAAAGTTGTCATGTTGACCCACCAAAAATGTCATATGGGGAATTAACCTCATTGTGGTCGTCATTTTGTGTATATATGTATATCAAATCATCACATTGTAAACTTGCATATATATTGATAATATCTCAGTAAAGCTGAGGGATTTTTTAAAATTAATAAAATGCTTCAACAAAAAAAGTTTTTAAAAGGAAAAGAAATATAAGCAGAAGGTAGTAATTTGGCCAAGCAGCTTTTAAATCAATAAGCAGTGTCTAAAGTCGATAAATTTAAAAAAATAGCACAGTATGTGTTCTATTTAGAAATAGGGCAATAATGTCAGAAGAAAAGCTAAAAGTTGATAGTGGTTTTTTTCTGAGGGTCTCTACTGAGAAGTGAGAAGGGGCAGAGCAAGCTACTGCTTTTTTTCTTATAAGTTCTATGGCATTTATTGATGTTTAAAAACGAAGTATATGTACTGGATTTGGTAGAAATTAAAACCAGTTATAAAAAAGACACCACTGAAGGGCAGTTTAGGGGAAATGATGTTTTAATTCATAATTTTAAATTAAAGAAGAAAGAAAAGTCCAACTAATTAGTGGAGTCCACAGAATGGTATATGCTAAAACCAGGAGAGTGGACAAAGTCATTTACAATCCTCTTCAATAGATAGATCTGTCTTAAATCTGCCTTTCTTTCTTAATATATTGACCTTCAATGAGCTTAAATGGGATGATGAGCATTCTGTATTCTACTCTAAATTACTTCCTTCTAATTCCCTACTATCTTTGCTTTCAATTTTAGGTCCCCAACTTTGACGGTGGGATAATGACATGTCTTTCCAAAGTAGTAATTAGCTTGCTTTTCTGTTATTTGATGGGATAAAAAATAGGCTAAAGATCTAAAACCTATAGAAATTTATAAGTTTTAGATCATATTTGTTCATTTGATCTGTCATCTTAAAGACATGAGAAACTGAGCAGTCAATAGCTCATACTTAGGTTAAAATTTCTATTTAACCTCATTCCCTGTCTTTCTGCTGTTTTCTTTCTTGGATGCCATTTCTTAGTGAATTAGGTTTATGCCCAAGGCCAAAGTAAAAAAGACTGGAAAAGCTAGGACTATAACTAGTCTATTAGAAAACTTCCATAGTATGCAGTTCGCATTGTACCAGGTGCTCAAGAAGATTTGTCCAGTGAATTTATTCACATTCCGGTATAGTGGTTAAGTATACCAACTTTGGAATCGGGCAGATTTCAATTCAGATCTCACCTCTCTGCAACTTGCTGGCTGTGTGATTTGGGTCAAATAATACATATATTCTCTAAGCCTCAATTCCCTCATATGTAGTACAGAAATATTAATATCTATTTCAAATGATTAAATGAGATGAGTATATAAAGTGCCTGACTTACGTTTGTGGCTGTGTATATACAGATAAAACATTTATGGTGTATAATATTGCTATTGTTATTTCTATAACTACATCCTTAAAAATTGTTTTGTTTTGTAGATGCAGCCATCGTGGTCTCTTGCTGTGCTGTTTCTTGGTCGACTGTTGATTATCAAGTAGCTTTAAGAAAATCCTTACCTGATAAAAATCTCTTTAATGGACCCTGTCCCAAGCTTGTATATCTCTTTTACAAGTTGTTTACATTATTATCTTGGATGTTGAGTGTTGTGCTTCTTTTATTCTTAAATGTTAAGATTGCTTTCCTTCTGTTGTCATTTCTTTGGCTTTTAGGTATATTTTGGGCATTTAAAGAACAAACTGATTTTTGTGTTTCCACAAGTATGGAAATCCTATACAGGATTGTTGTTGGATTCATTCTTATCTTTACATTTTTTAATATTAAGGGACAAAATACCAAATGCCCAATGTCTTGTTATTATATTGTAAGGGTATTGGTCACACTGGGGATATTGATTGTGTTCTGGTTTGACCCACTCTCTATTTTTAATGCAGACTATTTTATACCTGTCAGCATTACTATAGTTCTTTCTCTTCTCCTTGGAATTATTTTTCTTCTTGTTTATTATGGGACTTTGCACCCAAACACAAGTAAGGAGACTAAACTGGATGAAGTTGATGGAAGAAAACCAGCTCAAAGAGATTGTAGAATGAAGTATTTCCTCATGGAATAAGCTATTCACTTAAGAGATATGTTTCCTTATTTTTTATTTCATTGGTTAGTAAAGAAAAAGTTTGTGTATGTGTGTGTTTCTTATTTTTGCCCATCTTAATTTGATACCAGTTCTAGTACATTAATTATGAATGTTAGAGAGTATAATAATATTTTTATTATTTAATTTATTGCCTTGTAAAGTTGCCATCTTGAGACTGAACGGAAAGAAAGGGTCTAATTCTCATAATTAGAAGGTAGAATTGAATTGCCTCCAACTTTTTTGTCTTCTTTCCTCTATTTTCTTGATCCATTTATATATATATATATATATATATATATATATATGTATGTATATATATATATGTTGAGTGTTGTGATATATGTATATCTTTTTTTTCAGTGAGTTGGAGACAGATTGAGAAAAGGAAAAGGAGGGAAGAGGAAGAAAGGGAGGAGGAAGAGGAAGAAAACAAAAATAATCATTTAACCCATCTTAACCATTTTTAAGAATATAGTTCAGTAGTGTTAACTATATTCACTTTGTTGTGCTGCTCTATTAACATTTTTATCTTGCAGAACTGAGACACTATTTCCATTGAACAATTTCCCATTCCTCTCTTTCTCCCTGGCAAACACAATTATATTTTCTATTTCTATGAAGTTGGCTATTGTAGATATTGCATATGAGTGGAATCATGAAGTATTTGTCTTTTTGTGACTGGATTATTTCACTTAGCATAATATCCTCATGGTTCATCTTATACTGTAGTGTGTGAGAAGACTTCCTTCTTTTTAAAGGATGAAAAATATTCCATGGTATATACATATATGCCACATTTTCTTTATTTATACTTCATTGGGTTGCTTCTACCTTTGGCTAATTTTCAGTTGTTTCCTGGATACTATGAGTATCTTTAGATCCTCTTGATTGTTTCTTAGAGGAATATTTTTTTTTCTTTCAGAAACTTAAACTCTGAACTCTAAAGAGTGTTTATTTGGTTAGCCTTCAATGTACTCCTTGGAGTCTGCCCCTCACGTATATGTAGTTCAGTCAGTCAGAGACTTGGGAAGAGTTAATACATGAAATGAGGCTTACTGTATGTTGACTGTCTCCTTTTTACGATTTTCACTGTCACTTTTCAGTTTCTGTGGTCACTCCATACTCTGTCCTCGGGGACTTTAAGCCATTAAGACTGCAGCTTTTCTATCTCGGTTTGTATACACAGTGTGCCGACGGGGGTCTGTCTTTACTCAGTGCTGTTTCTTCTTCACAACGTTGACTGCCTTCCAGTGTCTGCCTACTTTTTTTTCAGGTAGTTTTTTTTTTTTCATGTTTTATCCAGAGTTTATAGTGGGCTTTTTTTGAGAAGGGGTTTAAGCAGTAAGAGTTACACCCATCTTTTATTAATCAGTACCATTTTTAAGTCTTTCTGTAATGTTTGCATTTTTTTCTGAGATTTGCTCGAACATAATGTGTAAGTTCCTTTTGTTTAACATTTAAGTCTGTCTTATCCTTATTTATTTGACCCTCACAAAAAACTGGTCAATATATTTATTGTTATCACTACCCTTTAGCTGGGAAAAGCAAGCCTCATAGAATTTAAGTAACTTGCCAAATTTCACACAGATCCAATCTCATACTTTTGACCTCAAGTCTAGTTTGCTTTCATTCTATTCTTTATCTGATAAATAGATGAACTGACCCATCAACAGCCTAGAGCTATAATAAATTACACATGATTTGTAAAAACTATTATTAAATTATTTATTTGCCAATAAAACAATGTTTTAAAAGTTTGATCCCAGTATTTTCTGGCTCTAGTTTGGGATGGGGCTAAGGCTGTGTCACTGATTGAATAATTTGACTAACAGTACATGTAATGGAAAGTGGCAATTTATGTAATGGAAAAAATAGGTAGAAAATAATGTACATCTACTGGATGTTACGTTCCCCACACCAACCTGGATTGAATATTCTTTGCATTCAACACATACTTTATGATTGATTTTATAGCAAAGAAACAAATGGGTTTATATATACATAAAAAACTGACCTGGATCCTCGTCAGATGTTTTGGCTAGTTAGCAAGCTCTTAAAATGAACTTTTAATATCTAATTATTTTACCTTTATTCATTTTATCTGATTTTCTATATCTTTCAGCCACAGATTTATAGCACTTTTAAATCCCCCCTCAATTTAGTGTAAACTTTTTCTAGATTATTCTGCACATATGAAGGGCTTTTGAAAATTTAGAAAAATCATAGGAATAATTATGAACAATACTTATAAAAGAGCACTCATGCACTGTCCCAGTCACAGTTTTCCAGAGAAACAGAACCAGTAGGGTATAGATGGAAACATGTAAGAGGGGATTTCTTGTAAGAATTGGCTCACATGGTTGTGGAGGCCAAAAAGCCTCACCACCAGCCATGTACAAGCTGGAGAACCATGAAGGCCTGTGGTGTAATTCTGTCCAAATCTGAAGGCCTAAGAATCGTGGGGCTAATGATTTAAGTGCTGATCTGGGTCCAAAAGCTTGAGAAACAGGAGTCCTAATGACTGAAGACAAGTGGAGATGGATATTATAGCTGGACCAGAGAGAGTGAATTTCTCATTCTTCTGACTTTTGTTCTATTTAGGCCCTCAACTAGCTGCATGATACCCACCCATGCGGGGGAAGCCATTTGCTTTACTCAGTTCATCAAATGCTAATTTCTTCGAGAAACACCCTCATAGACTCCCAGGATGTCTTACTAGCCATCTGGCACACTTAGCCCAGTTAAATTAAACCATAAAATTAACCCTCACACACACCTTTATACTTTCACATTTACTGCAACTACAGGTAGAATGCTTCCCTTAGACTGCCTGCTGCTGCTGCTAAGTTGCTTCACTCGTGTCTGACTCTGCGACCCCATAGATGGCAGCCCACCAGGCTCCCTCGTCCCTGGGATTCTCCAGGCAAGAACACTGGAGTGGGTTGCCATTTCCTTCTCCAATGCATGAAAGTGAAAAGTGAAAGTGAAGTC